AGGTTTAAATTAGAAATAAGGTAATTGTCGATGGGGTTTTTTGGTTGAGGATGCGAGATTTTTAGGTGTTTCTGGTTTGTTGTAATGGTGATTCTTGATATGAGAATATCACATGTTTTCATACGTATTCAATATTAATAAACTATGAGGTACTCTTTTATTCCTTCCAATGTTCGTCAACATACTTCTTAGTATGTGGACGAATACGAAGGTAGTTTTTAATGATGCCTCCAACTTCTATAAAAAAACCCAAGTTAATAAAAGGATTAAGAGGGTGAGAAGTGATCGTGGTGGTGAAAATATTAAACTATTTTGTCAATATTATGCACAACATGGTATTTTTCATGAAGTAACACCACCATACTCTCCTCAATCGAATGGAGTAGCAAAGCGAAAAAATCGAACATTAAAGGAAATGATGAACGCTATGCTAGGAAGTTCTGGGTTGTCACAAAACATGTAAGGGGAAACTGTCTTATCAGCAAATTACCTTTTAAATAAGGTGCCTCGCAAGAAAAAAGACAAGACGCCATATGAGTTGTGGATAGGCAAGAAACCCTCCTACAATTACTTGAAAGTGTAGGGGTGTCTTGCAAAAGTAATGACTCCTTTATCAAAGCAAATGAAAATAGGTCCTAAAACAGTTAATTATATTTTCATTGGCTATGCTCACCACAACAATGCATATCGATTTCTTTTGCATGAATCAAATAATCCATAAATTCACAAGAATACGATATTATAATCTAAAAATGCCTCATTCTTTGAAAATATATTTCCTTGTAAAATTAGAGAAGTTGGCTCAAGTTCAAGGAAACAAACTTTAGAAACTATTAATGAAAATAGTCAAGACTTCCAACAAGAGGTTGAAGTCGAGATAGAGCTAAGAAGAAGTAAAAGGGCACGAGTAGAAAATTCTTTGGATCGGATTTTCTAACCTATATACCATAGACTGAACCTGTAACTTACAGCGAAGCTATACGTTCATCTGAAAGTAATTTTTGGAAAGATGCCATCAAGAGTGAAATTGATTCCATCATGCAAAATCATATGTGGGAATTAGTGGATCTTCCACATGGAATTAAACCATTAAATTCTAAATGGATTTTCAAACGAAAAATGAAAGCATATGGAACAATTGATAAGTACAAGGCCAGATTGGTTATTAAAGGGTACCGAAAAAAGGAAGGTCTTGATTATTTTGATACATATTCACCCTTATCAAGAATAACTTCTCTTGCAATTGTCACTTTATGGAATTTATAAGTACATCAAATGGATGTTAAGACCACTTTTCTTAATGGAGACCTTGATAAGGAAATTTACATAGAACAACCTGAGGGTTATGTAGCTCTAAGACAAGAAAAAAGTATGTAAATTGGTAAAGTCATTATATGGACTTAAGCAAGCACCAATGCAATAACATGAAAAGTGTGATAGTATTATAATATCAAATGGATTTAAAATAAATGAGTGTGACAAATGTGTGTATGTCAAAATCACTGTTGATGGATATGTAATCCTATGCCTATATGTTGATGACATACTCATTGTTGGAAGTAACAATGAAATGATAAAACTTACCAAAAATATGTTAAATTCAAAATTTGACATGAAAGACATGGGACTTGCTGACATGATTTTGGGCATCCAAAAGGTCATCTGAAGGTCTCATATTGACTCAGTCACACTATGCAGACAAGATTCTTGAAAATTTTGGCAAGGATGATTCTGGTGTAGCCAAAACTCCGATAGATACAAGTCAACATCTATCTAAAAATAAAGGTGAAAGTGTTAATCAAGTGGAATATGCAAGGATCATAGGCAATCTAATATATCTTATGAGTTGCACTAGACCTGATATTGCTTTCACTGTAAGCAGTTTAAGCAGATTTACAAGTAATCTAGGGGAGAAACACTAGAAAACAATTGTAAAGGTATTGAAATATCTCATATATACTCGAAACTATGGATTACATTATTCTAGAGATCCTGTTGTGTTAGAAGGATTCTCTGATGCCAGTTGGATATCTGATATTCAAGATACCAAAAGCACAAGTGGTTATATTTTCACATTGGGAGGAGAAATTGTGTCATGAAAATCCTCAAGACAAACAATTATATAACCAGATCCACGATGGAATCTGAGTTTGTAGCCTTGGACAAACTAGAGAAAAGGCAGACTGGTTACGAAAATTTTTGGAGGATATTCCTGAATGGCCAAAGCATGCACCCAAAAATATGTATATATTGTGATAACCAAACAACAATTGGTAGAGAACAAAATGTAATGTATAATGGTAAGTCGAGACACATACGACATCGACACAATACCATTAGACAACTGATCTCAACTGGAGTTATTTCTATTGATTTTGTAAGATTAAAAGATAACATTGCGGATCCGCTAACCAAAGGGTTAAATCGAGATCAAGTTGATAAAACATCAAGAGGAATGGGACTAAAGTCCATGAATTGTTAAGGCTCTATGTGAAGGAAAACCCAACCTAGTTAACTGAAGATCCCAAGATCTAGGTTCAATGGGACAACCTACTTGCATAGACCTGATGAGGTCTCTATGGGGGTTTTTATCCCAAACCCATTCCTATGATAAAAACAGTGACTAAAATGTGGATAATGTTAAGCAATGCTTTTAATGACCAATGGTTTCATTGAATCGAACAACATAAGTCACCTATGTGAGAGTGAAGTGGAGCCGCTTCAAAGAGACTATTGGGCATAGTTCTTTAAGCTCTTGCATAACCAGGAGATGTCCACGACTATATGGACATAACCATGAGAACTAACCTCTTGTCAGTAAGATATTTGTGTAAGGTATGTCATCACTTACAAAAATGGCAGGATAGTTCAAGGACATCACGTCTACTGGACATCCAGTAAGGTAAACATATTTTCACAAGGGAAATTTCAAAGGGGGACCCTACCTATCATATGCAAATATCGAACGTATAATCTATCACCACATCGAGTCAATGTTTTAAACAATCAAATTCATTCATGTGGGGGATTGTTGAAAAAATATGAATGAATTGATTTATTCAATCATGACTATTCATGAAAAATAATCAAGTCATTTCATGAAAAATAGTTTTCATTTCACCCCAAAAGTCATGTCTTTTCATGTTAACCTTTTGATCAAAAGGTTATAATTTTTAGTCAAATGGTTAAGTCATTTCATTTAAAGGTCTTAACCTTTCAATACAAATTCCTCTCCCTATAGAAAGGCTATGTTGTGACACATCTCAAAACATAACTTTTTACTATTTTCTTTCAAATTTTCCTTTCAATTCTCCGATTCTTCCAAAGTCATTTTCCGATGATAGATAAAGATTGTGTTTGATTGTTCACTACGGTTGTGCTTACGTTGTGAAAGTTTGTTGTTGTATCCTGGGAGATCGACGTCCAACGTTACTCAAAGCACCGAGGAGATGACAATATGTCTTAAGGAAACTGTTCATTCAAGCCTCAATAAAACTTTTCTTCTATTTATTCAGTTCCATCCGATTACAAGTTCTATTTTAATTTCATATTTTTTAACTTTATTATTGAAACGAAATTTATAGATTATAATACTACAACACTATTTTTCAATAATTTGCAACATTGACGAGTTTTAAATCAAATCTAAAGCGTTAGGGTTATGTTTAGAATGATCCCTTTCATTTTATAAATTTGTAGAGACTTAGGAAGGTCGGAAAAGTTGACAAATGAAATGTGCAACTAATACCACATGTTCAAAGTAATAACCAATTTAGTAATAACCCATCTAGAAACTCCTTTTAATAAGACAATAAATGCTTATTCTTGAATTTAATCATTATTTAATATTTTGTATAGTTGACTTTAGACTTTGTTATGTACTATTAAATATTTGTTTTTCAATATGTATGTGATGAGAATTGGTTAATTAAACTGTTCAAATATTTTTGTGATGAAATTACTTATGATGACATGTATTAAGCATGTTTCTGTTGATGCCTGTATGATATGGTTAAAAATTAGAGGCATTAAGATAATTTTTGTTTTGAGTCACTTCACTAATTAATGTAACGCTCGTTATTTAAGTCAGATTCAAATAATAACACAAAAGAAGTTGACAAAGATTACTAACATAATTGGATTAACGTACATATGTGAGATCTTACCTACAAAATGAATCCACTATATAATTCCCAGTGCATTAAGTGATGACAACCCAATGCACCCTACCCTAACCAAACAGATGAGAGTGGCCTTACCAGTTAAACAGATAATGGTGCCCTACCCTAAAAACTTTCATTTATGTTCAGATATAATGTATGCCTGTTAAACATTAGAAACTAAGTAATCTACTGTCTATAAATGTTATTAAAGAATGTGGGAAATGCTGGAAGCTTTCTGCATGGAACCAAAAAAATATCTACTTATTTCCATCATTGAAAGTACCTTGAACACCAACATCAAAACAAGAGTACAGTGGGAGTTGGAGTGCCTTGAAATGCCCGAGCTCTTGCTCAGAGGCCCCAACACTCGACAGGTTCCACTTCCAGTTTACTTATTTTTCATTAATCTTTAAAGCTGTTTTAGTGCTAGTTAAGTAAAGTTTAAGCCTTACTACAAATGACCCAACTCCCGAGCTTTGGCGACTAATAATAATATTGTTTACCCCAAACATTAAACCCTAGTTAAAGAGCAGGAGAAAAATCTCTCTTTCTTCTGCCTCTCGGGACTTATGCTGGTTGAAGGAGGACAGAAATCTGCAAGACTTAAACAAGGAAATCCCACAGACCACAAGATCAACCCCTAAGATTTGATTCTAAAGAGATCAGGAATCAGATTCAGACCCCTTGTGGTAGAGATAAAAGCCTGCGATCATTAATGATTTAGTACTTTACCTACACATCCAAGTAGGGAAATTTATTCGTGTCTTGTTAGATTTAATTAGCATGGACAGATAAATATCAGAGAGTGAAAAGCAAGATGATGAGAAAATTACGCACCAGGAATTAGAAAACTCGTACAGCTTCCCACGGGGAGAGAAGATGATGAGTGAAACTTCAGCATCGCAGAGAACTGATAACTCAAAGGCCTTTTTAAGCAGTCCATTCCTTCGCTTTGAGAAGGTTACTTGCCTGCTTGTTGCATTTTCTATTCTCTTCATCTGGGTTTTCTGTCTCACCATTTTCTCCTACACACCAAAACCAAATATGATGAGTGTTCCTACAAAAGAAAAACCCAGAAAAGAAAATTATCAATTGAATCCTAGGGAATATACTGTGCATATTTATCGACAACTAATATACTCTGATTAGGGGGTGGAAGTTTCTAAAAATAGAAAAATCAATAATGGAAGGAAATCTACAAAAGTTTGAGTTGATGTGAAGGAACAAAGCAAGTTTTTTTTATAGAAAATTTCTGTTAAAAATGAAGAATCAAACAAAAACCCTAGATTTTACATATGAAATGTGACTTGACCGATCACTCATTCAATCCAGCTCCTTTAATTCTCTATTTTAGATGTGAATAAATATGAAGGGAAAAAAAATCATAATAGGTAAAGTCTATGAAAGTGAAGAACCTAATCCCTTTCTTCTTTTGGTAAAATTGAAGATGTAAGAAAAACAGGCACCTCCCAAAAAAAGAAACAGAGAATATATGCCAGAACATTTGATTCCACGACGAAGAGCGACGTTGGATGCACCGAAAATTTGTGCCCATGGCCTGAACACATGACACCTGTTCGGTTTTACGGACAACCTCCTCGTCCGGTATCCACCGAAAGGAGCAGTAACCAGGCTGTGATGTGAAAGTAAAGGACACGCGACATTTCTGTCGGTTGCATGAAAATGTTGGACACCATCTCTCTATCTACCGGTGGGTCCATACAGGTTGAAAACACGTAGGCATGTGTCCGTACTATGAAATAGCCAAGAGTCCAACGGGAGATCGCCACATGGTTAATCGGAGTGATAATCATCTGACTGGGTTTCACGTGGTGGCTGATCCTTGTTTGGTGGTAGGGTTTGGCCTTTTTCGGAGTAATTGTTTATTGGGGTATATTTCTTCCTTTTGAGAAATGGGTAAGTTGTGGCGCACTATTGGATCCTCGATTTTCTAAAAAAAAGGAGAAAATATTTTGTTTAATAAATTCTATTCCATACGAATATAGGTAGGTATTAACTCTTAACCCTCATTCACTCAGGGTCCACGTTAGGGGCCAACTTTAGGTATTTTTTAGTCCAATAATCTTGGTGGGTAGATTATTTGACCCAATAGGGTAATAGTAAATTTAGTTTAGATCTATAACAAATATTACAGTGTCCATGGAACTCGTTATGCCAGCGTGACGAGTTTTATGGGATATATTTTTTAATGGATCGTGTCACATGTGTCTCACAACCTGAATTAATTTAATATATTATAAGGGACTTGTAACGCAGGTATGACGAGTCCTAATAATTTTTTTTTGAAAATTTTAAAAGTATTGTAAAAAATTATTATTTTATTGTTGATAGAACTCGTCACGTCGGTGTGATGAGTTCCAATAGGTATAATTTTGAATTAGTTGACTGTTGGATTGACCGTTGTTAATCGGATAATTTTTTAAAATTCAATGGAATCGTCACGTCGGTGTGACGAGTTCCAACGGCTAAAAATTTAGTATACACAACACACTTATTTCATCTCTACACACACAAAATACTCCTTTCATGTTCAATCTCTTACACCAACAAACTCATTTCTTCTAACCAAATACATTTCAAATAATGAGCAACAATTATTCACAGTTGTGCATTATAATGGAGAAATTCTACAAACCATTGTTGGTGTTGTGTTTAAGTCACACAGGTCCATCAATATTATGTTCCCTGTAGATGTGGAGTGAAGAAGAAAAGAGATTGTTCAAACTTAACGCAAAGGCAATACATATTCTATTTTGAACACTTGGCCCGATAAAATATGGAAGAGTATCATCTTGTTCTAATGCCAAGGAATATGGATAAACTTGAAGTTACTCATGAAGAAACTAAAAATCATGACTTGCAAAACCTACTTTCAAAGGTTCATGATGATCATCAAACTAAACTTTATGATCTTAAAGCTTCTTTTAACAAAGTTGTAACAAATCATTTTGAAAAAAGATAAAATTCTAAATCAATTATGTTAGAAATAACTTTAGACCATACAATCATAGAGGTCCCCAAAGAACATCAAATTAGGTATAACCAACATTTTGAACCATTTTGTACACTTAGTATCTATATTGTTCATTCAATACCGATATTGTTCTTTGTTAGTATCGATATTGTTCATCCAGTACTGATACTCCCATTTTTTTTGCTTTGAAGTATTGATACTCCCATTGGAGTACCGATACTCTCGGTCGGGTTTAGCTTATAAAACCTTAAAATTTCTTTTTTCTTTCCCACTCTAAAACTTAGCCACAAAATTCCCAAACCCCCTCTCAAACATTGCTTTATTCTATTATTTTTGGGTCAATTTTTGAGTTGATTTTCATTATTCCAAACTGCTAGCATCATTAAAATCGTGCATTCATCATCAAATTCCATCTCAATCGTATTATTTCAAGGTAATTTTTTCTAAAACCCTAACTTTTTCTTTTCGAATTTAGGCATAGTTTTAGTTAGTTTTTTCTTAAATTAGTGAATGGGCTTTACTTATTTTGTATTTCTACACTAGAATCTACATTGCTTTTTTTACAAATTTCTTCAAATTAGAAATTAAAAAAAATCATACTTATATACATGTTGTTTATATATATATATATATATTTTTTTTTTTTAACACCATTTTCCTTTTGGCCCATTATATTTTTTAAAATTAATTTAGTTATATAATGCCTTGAAATTTGGACTCATATTGAGTTTTTGGATTCATTGATTGCATACATATATATATCGTCTTTCATTGTAGGTTTTACCATTATTCTGACTTTTACCATGTTTCACAAACGTTCTCGATCATCTTCCTCTAGTGCTAATTCACCTCCTAATCCTCTGCTAAATCCTCCTCCCAATCCAAATGAAATGACCATTGTGAATTCGTGTTTTAATGAACCAAATCGCCGAAGTCTCTATTCACGATATCTCAACCATTTCAAATCTTATGCTCTTAGGGGTGAGCGTTTTCCTTCAATTTTGGAAATGAACGCCATAAATTTTAAATACCTACCCCTTTTCAAAGCTTGGAAATTTGACAACACGTTCAGAGTCAAACCCATTGTCTATCACCAACTCGTCCGTATTTTATATTCTAATGCGGTTTGTGTCCAAAACGAAGCTCGTACTCACACAGAAAGTATTTATTCCTCTCTCTTGGGCGAATACGTTACTATTGATTCCGACTCCATTACCTGGGCTTTTGGTCTATAAAACACCGGGATTGATAACGAGCAAGATACCATCCCTTTTTCCTTAGAAGTAGGGAAGAGCGCAATCGTCATTGACTTTCATGAGAGGTTCTTTCACTTGATTATCTCTTGGTGGTTTCGACCATCCGGAGGCAAATATTCATCTTTTCCAAGCATTGACATATGGTGGATTCATTGTTTTCAAAAAAAAATAAAAGAATTAATATTGCTCAAATCATCTTCGGTGAACTAGTAGACACCGTGACCCATATTCCTTCTAAAAGGTTCGAAACTTTGGTTTATGGTTATCTTCTTAGTAATTTCTTTATAAAATTCGATCTTAAAGTCGATCTCAATATTGCTATCCCCTTGGGTACCCCATTCGATCTTACCTCTCTCCACAAGTTAGGATGGACTCAAGTTGGAGAAAATTAGGGGGAAAGCCAAAAGAGACGCCCGATGCTAGTTCATCTCGAGTGGCTCTGGCTCCGTCTCAAGACGATGATATTTTACATGATGTTGATAATCCCTTGAATCGCGTCCCTGACGAGCCTCCTAGCGATGGTAGTGCGATGCCTCCTTATTTTTAATCCATGATAGATTTGAGGTTTGCATCTATGGTGTCACACTTTACTGCCTTGGAGACTCAAGTGTCCGAGATCACATCTCAGCAGTTGGCACTGCAAGCAATGTATATGGATTCCCAAAGCGGCATCCTAGACAATTTGACGCGGTGACGGATAGGATCGATGCTCTCTTTCGAGACTTTGCCTCATTCCATGCACCCCCTTCGGATCCTGATCCTTCGTCGGATGCTTGATGATTTTGCTTTGCTAATTACTTTTTCGTTGGTGTTGCAATGTTATACTTTGAACTTACATTTTCATTTGAATTTCTTAGCCTTAGATATTTTGGATTTGGTAATACTTTTATGTTTTGGATGATCGGATATATGTTTATCATATTTCACATTTTTAGCCATGTTTCCTCTTATTACGACCATGCCCACTATCTTTTGGATATTACTTATGTTAACTAATCTATTTGGCACATTTGTTCTCCATATCTATATTCTATATCTTGTTTATTCTTCATTGAATCTTTTTGATTTAACATAAAGGGGGAGAGTTGTTAAAGAAAGGGGGAGTATTTTTTCAAGAAAATCTTAAATTTTTTAAAATGTTTTGTTATATTAAAAAGGGGGAGATTGTTGAAAATACTTTGATATTTTGATATACAAAACACATTGTTAATTAGTTTTTACAAATTTTAAGATTATATTTGATTTAGTCATTCGAATGTATAAAATTATTCTTTAAAGTTAAAATTTCAATTTTACTCCTCACTTTAATGAAAATTTGAGTCCTATACTGGAAATATTTTCGAAATTTTTTTTACTAAGTCTTTCGAACTTTAATCGAGTCAAAAATGATTTTTAAGTATAGTAGTACCGGTACTACTAGAACAGTATCGATATTACTCAAGAAGTATCGATACAAATATCGAGGTTGAAGCCCAAAATAATGTAGTACCGATACTGTCAAAACATAATGCTAAAATGGTACCGATACTATATACTGTAACGATACTACTTAGTGTAGTAGTACCGACACTCTTAGTGGTGGTACCAATACTACTTTTTTTGGTTTTGAGTACGTCAAATTCCAGTATATTAAAATGGTACCGATGTATACAATATCGATATTACTGAATATAGTAGTATATACCCTTATGACAGTATCGATACCGAGTTTTCCAACAATTAAATTTTTGTATTTAATTCAGGGAGTATCAATACTGATAGACGGAGTACCAATACTACAAACTTCTAAGTAACACTTAATGCGGGAAACTGCCCCCCAATGACTCTATTCACTCCTACAACAACTCAAACGGTTGGAATTGATTTAGAGAATATATAAACAAGATCCCAAGTTATTTGATGACAAGAGACAAAAGAGAAAGCCATAAATAACAAATTTGAGCCAAATCAAGAAAAAATATAAGAGAAAACTTGGAGCTTATGTTTCATGTTTAAGTTATCGGCACCTGATCTCCTCAAATCCAATCACATATGGTCTGTAGTATTTCGCCATTATAATGGACAACTGTGAATAATTTGTTGCTCATTGTTTGAAATGTATTTGGTTAGAAGAAAGGAGTTTGTTGTGTAAGAGATTGAAGAAGAAATGAGTGTTTTGTGTGTGTAAGAGATGAAAGAGTGTGTATGTATGTTAAATTTTAGCCGTTGGAACTCGTCACACTGGCGTGACAAGTTCCATTGATTTAAAAAAAAACATTTGTCCGTTCAACAACGG